ACCGGATATCTCAACGGATTTCATTTGGAAATGGGATTTCCCATAAAAATAAATCAACAAATTCACTTGGAAAAAGTCGCAGAGCAAACTAATGAACACAAAGTTCAACGACAGTTAATAAAAATTCACGTGTTCAACTGATTACTAAACCAATATTGATCTTTCATTTAATTAAGGTTTTTAGTTGAGATAAAAAAGTCAGTGTCACGAGCGAGATTCGAACCCACGAACTTCGGCTAGATACGCCGCTGCTCTACCACTTAAGCTATCGTGACCTCGATCCACACGGACACTAAATTCAAAAGGTGGGGTTGAGATGGGAAGTTAGTGTCCGAGTGGATCGAGGTCACCATAGCTCAAGTGGTAGAGCAGCGGCGTATCTAGCCGATGGTCGTGGGTTCGAATCCCGCTCGTCACACTGACTTTTTTATCTCGACTAAAAACCTTAATTAATTGAAAGATATTAATTGGTCAAGCGGACCACGAAAACTAGTGAGCCAATATTAATATTACGTTAAAGTGAGACGAGAAGCAAATCTATCGGACCTCCTGCTACATATCTCAGAAAAATGATTTAAGGACGTACAATGTAACCGTGGAAAAAATACAAACACTTTGGCATTTAGGCAAAGGAAGCGAGATGAGATGGACTCATGGACCATCATAAGAAATTTTTTATCCGGTCTTCAATAAAAATAAAACCTTACGGTGATCACATTTGGGGAAATATGACTAAATCCAATTTTCTTAAATTCCATAGACGAAAAAGCTGTTCTAAGAATTATTGGACGGTTCCTCATCAATAACCCACATCTATGGAGAAATTTTAAATTTTTACAATTTATGCATAAATAGCTGATGTATACATATAAAAAATTCTTTTTTTTAAATTTATAATAGGGATAACTTGAACTAAGTTTCTGTAAATACAAGCATAAATGATTTAAGCACATATTGATTGAAAAATAAGGAATATGGGGCGTCGGTGGCCGCAACGGTTTAGGCGTTGACACGGCGCTCATCACTGTAAGGTAAAGGTCCCGGGTTCGAATCCAGNATTAGTCGCTTTATTATGTATAGTATGTGCTTCAATATTTTTATTGTTTTATTTATATTTATCTATAGAACTCATGTACCTGCGTGTAAGGTTTTTAAGACCTTTATTGTTTTGTGTAATGACTGGAGTTTTTTAAATATATTTTTTCTTCTAAACTGTTTTATGTTTAATGTATTTTTTGAGACAAAATTTCAATCACGTTGAACAAAAAATCACCCGGACATGACCAAATCTCAAACCTTCGTGCACGAGTATCTTCCGAAAAAGGCATTATTCTATTAACGTACCATTTTAATGCCATGTTTGTCTTAAAATAATATCCAGATTGCTGGAAAATTTCTAAAATAGTGAACAGAGAAAAACCGGCAAAACTGATGAAAATTTCTCGACCTACAAATTTACTCAGCCATTAAGAAAATTTTTTGAAAATGTGATGACAAAAAGGATAGAAAACCGATTGACTTGTCCTTCTTGACAAAAAGAAAGCCATCGACTCGGTATAGCAAGATCCTTGAATAATTTTTTAAACTATATTATTAAAATTGTGCAGTCCTGCCTTCAAATGAGATGTTTTCGTTTTTTCTTCAATAACTCTCCCTCCTCTCCTCTCAATATTAAACCAGGCGTCTCTCAAGGCTCGATCCTGGGACCTATATTGTTTTGTATTTTTTGGATGAAATCTAGATCTCGTCAACAGGCACTATACGCTGAGGACATTGCACTGTAAGTAAGTTATAATTGAACTGGAAAGGATAAAAGTTTATGTGTACCGGATGGAAGTAAATAATTAACATAAACAAAACCAGTTTCATTTTCACAGAACGAAGGCCCTTGCTTTCCCATAAAATATGGTTCGATGGATCTTTTGAGTTTCTAAGATGGTAAAACTGGAATCTTAGGGAACTAAAGAACACAACTAATACTGGAAACGTATGCTAGGCTAAGGTGAGGTCCAGGCGATGAAGGAAATTTACGCAACGATTCAACAGGTTAGGTAAAAAGGTAGACTCGGAACACTGAACAACATATAGGCAAAAATCCATTCTGAGTCGTGTACTAAAGCCATATTTTAAAAAACTGGATTTTGTTAGTTATCCAAAAGAAGACAACTAATAACAGGAATGTATGCCAAGCTGAGATGAGCCCCAGGCAACGAGGCAGCAGACATACTTGGTCAAAAAAACGAGCCTTGGAAGGACACATAAATCAAAATCCATTATGTGGCATGTATTACGCCACATTAAACAAGAATCCATATTTGCTTAGTGGTCATAATTGACCATGTTAATTATTCCAATTAATTATTCTTTCCTTCTAAGGTTTTTGGTTGAAATGAAAAATGACATTCTACGTGAAATGAGAATTTTTTTTTTTGAAAATAGTGTTTTTATGATTTTCTTGGTATGTATAAAATAAATAATAACTATCGTCATCGAAATAACCAAATAACTTAAAAAAGAAATATGTAAAAAATACCTACAAAGATCTCATTTAAATAAAAGTAGATCAATCCGTGAATAGAGAGTTTTTTTGTGGAAAATAGTGTTTTTATGATTTTCTTGGTATGTATAAAAGAAATAATTAATAACTATCATCATGAAATAACAAAATAACTTAAAAAAATAAATAGGTAAAAATAACTACAAAGATGTCATTTAAATAAAATAAGATCAATTCGTGATTAGAGATATTTTTTTTGAAAATAGTTTTTATGATTTTCTTGGTATATATAGTTACTAAAAATTCCAGTTCTTTCTTAATCCAATGAATTATTCTTTGTATGTAAGATATTTGGTTGAAATGAAGAATGCCATTTTCCATGAAATTACAATTTAAATCATTAAAACAAATAACTACAAAGATGTGATTTAAATAAAATAAGATCAATTTGTGATTAGAGAGGTTTTTTGGGGTAAAATAGTGTTTTTATGATTTTCTTGGTATGTACAAAAGAAATCATTAATAACTAGCATCATCGAAATAACCAAATAACTCAAAAAACGAAATAGGTAAAAAATAACTACAAAGATGTCATTTAAATAAAATACGATCAATGGTTGATTAGAGAGTTTTTTCTTTTGAAAATAGTGTTTTTATGATTTCCTTGGTATGTATAAAAGAAATAATTAATAACTATCATCATCGAAATAACCGAATAACTCAAAAAAAGAAATAAGTAAAAAATGACTACAATGATGTCCTTAAATGAAATTAATTATAAAAATAATTTGTAATTTAAAGAAAGTTTTTTTAAATAGTGTTTTTATGTTCGGAAATAACTAATAACTATCATCCTGGAAATAACAAAATAACGTTTAAAAAAATGAAATCATTAAAACAAATAACTACAATTATGTAGTCGAAATAAAATTAATTATAATAACTATTCGTAATTTATATACCTTGTTTGTAAATCGCGTTGTTTTTATTCTTTTGGTATGTGTACAAGACATAACCACCACAATAACCACCATCGTAGAAATAACAAAATAACGTTAAACAGTAGAAATTAGTAAAAAAATAACTACAAATATGTCATTTAAATAAAATACGATCAATTGTTGATTAGAGAGTTTTTTCTGTTTTTTCTTTTGATAATAGTGTTTTTATGATTTCCTTGATATGTATAAAAGAAATAATTAATAACTAGCATCATCTAAATACCCAAATGACTTAAAAAAAGAAAAAGGTAAAAAATAACTACAAAGATCTCATTTAAATAAAATTAGATCAATTCGTGATTAGTTTTTTTTTTTTTGAAAAATAGTGTTTTTATGATTTCCTTGGTATGTATAAAAGAAATAATTAACAACTAGCATTATCTAAATACCCAAATGACTTAAAAAAGAAATAGGTAAAAAATAACTACAAAGATGTCATTTAAATAAAATAAGATCAATTCGTCATTACAGAATTTTTTTGGAAAATAGTGTTTTTATGATTTTCTTGGTATGTACAAAAGAAATAATTAATAACTAGCATCATGTAAATACCCAAATAACTTAAAAAAGAAAAAGGTAAAAAATAACTACAAAAATCTCATTTAAGTAAAATTAGATCAATTCGTGATTAGAGAGTTTTTTTTAAGAAAATAGTATTTTTATGATTTTCTTGGTATGCATAAAATAAATAATTAATAACTTATTATTTCTGTCTAAGGTTTTTGGTTGAGATGAAAAATGACACAGCTCAACCTTAGAGTAGCCCAAGGTCGAGGGTTCGAATCCCGTTCGTGACACTAATTTTTCATCTCAATCAAAAACCTTAGATGCAAAGAATAATTAATTGGATTAAAAAAAGAACTGGATTTATGGGTAACTAAAGAACACAACAAATTCTGGAAACTTATGTCAGTCTTGAGACAAGGAAAACAGGCCACTAAATCAAATGGAGGACAAAGGAAATCCTACTGAAAGAAAGTATTTCTAAACTCTAATATGTTTATTTACAAAGCTGTAAATGTCACTGTTAACACATGACAAGACATAGACAATAGATCATATCGAATGCAACTGCCATGCAATAACTAGGAAAAGGATATGGCACCTACGAAAGCCATTCTTTAGCAATATAGACCTCAACATCCCCTCAATGAAATTGACAATTTATTGACTTAGTTTTACCGCCAAATTCGTAAAGTGGAAAGAATAATGAGATTGTTTGTAAGTTATTTGCGTAATTTTTCATAAAACCGGAAATTACCATTTTTTTTTCTTATATAACCCAGTTATAAAGTCGTAGGTAATGTTAATGGGACGGACATTCGTCCGAAAAATTCAGGAAGGAAACCACTGTCGCCATTTTCACCCCGTTTAAGTGCCATCAAAGCGAAAAGGTTAGGTAATGAATGGGATACAAACACAACGTCATCCCCTCGCGCGCGCGCCTGCTCGTCGGTATAAATAGTGAGAGGAGAGTTCAACTTGGATCATTCCGCTTTCCACCTCCGACTCACGTCAAGCGCACGTTCGAAATGGCCCGCATTGCTTTGTCCGCTCTTGTAAGTAAACGGTGAACAACGATAATTGTGTGGAGTTTTGGGTTTTTCTATTTGGTTTGGATGCTTAGTGAAGTGACTTGTGACTTAGTGTGACGAACTGAGGTATGCCAAGCTTAACATTTTTCTTGTTTTCATCAGCTCTCTTGTTCATCCGGATTCCCCCTTTCTTTAAATGCGCACAGAAGTTAACAAAAAAAAATTAATTATTAACAAAAATAATTCATTACATAAATTAAACCTTCGTAGTCCTGATGAAGATTTGGTTTAAAATCAAAGTTTGGTGTACTTCAAATTTCCCCAATCCATTGATTAAAAAAAATATTTTAAAAAAGATTCATATGTTTTTATTTTTTAATAACTCTAAATGTACTGAAGAATCGTAAGGTAATATAAAAGTTTGAGCTTTTTTTAAATTTGTCTTTGCAGTTCTTTTTTCAAAATATTAGTATTTTTTTAATTTATTTAATTATTATTCTGTTTTACAGGCAACATATTTTTTGAAAAATACGAAGAGAATCATAGAAACGCGATTTTAAAAAAAGTTCTTTAAATTGCAAATAGTTCTTATAATCACTTTTATTTCAGTGACATTTTTGTATTTATTTTTTATACTAATTTCTACTTTTTTAACGTTATTTTGTTATTTCTACGATGGTGGTTATTAATTATGTCTTGTAGACATACCAAAAGAATATAAAAAACGCGATTTACAAAAAAGTTATATAAATTACGAATAGTTATTATAATTAATTTTATTTCGAATACATAATTGTAGTTATTTGTTTTAATGATTTCATTTTTTTAAACGTTATTTTGTTATTTCTATGATGATAGTTATTAGTTATTTCCGAACATAAAAACACTATTTAAAAAAACTTTCTTTAAATTACAAATTATTTTATTAATTAAGTTTATTGCAATGACGTCTTTGTAGTTATGTTTTACTTATTTTTTAAGTTATTTCGATAATGATAATTATTAATTATTTCTTTTACACATATCAACAGAATCAGAAAAACGCTATTTCAAAAAAAACTTTTTTAAATTACAAATTATTTTTATAATTAATCTTATTTCAGTGACATCTTTGTAGTCATTTTTTACTTATTTCTTTTTTTGAGTTATTTGGTTATTTCGATGATGATAGTTATTAATTATTTCTTTTACACATATCAACAGAATCAGAAAAACGCTATTTCAAAAAAAACTTTTAAATTACAAATTATTTTTATAATTAATCTTATTTCAGTGACATCTTTGTAGTCATTTTTTACTTATTCCTTTTTTTGAGTTATTTGGTTATTTCGATGATGATAGTTATTAATTATTTCTTTTATACATACCAAGGAAATCATAAAAACACTATTTTCAAAAGAAAAAAAAAAGAAAAAAGAAAAACTCTCTAATCAACAATTGATCGTATTTTATTTAAATGACATATTTGTAGTTATTTTTCACCTATTTCTTTTTTTGAGTTATTTGGTTATTTTGATGATGATAGTTATTAATTATTTCTTTTATACATACCAAGGAAATCATAAAAATACTATTTTTCCAAAAATACCTCTCTCATCACGAATTGATCTAATTTTATTTAAATGACATCTTTGTAGTTATTTGTTTTAAGAATTTAAATTGTAATTTTATGGAAAATGTCATTTTTCATTTCAATCAAAATCTTAGATACAAAGAATAATTAATTGGATTAAAAAAGAACTGGAATTTTTAGTAACTGTATATACCAAGAAAATCATAAAAACACTATTTTCCAAAAAAAATTCTGTAATGACGAATTTATCTTATTTTATTTAAATGACATCTTTGTAGTTATTTTTTTACCTATTTCTTTTTTAAAGTTATTTTGTTATTTCAATGATGGTAGTTATTGGGTTGTCCGGAAAATAATGCAGGATTTTGGTATTAAACAAAAAAAAAGAAACTAGTTACTTTAAAGCAATGTTCTTTAATCAAAATAATTTCCCANTTGTAGTTATTTTTTACCTATTCCTTTTCTTAAGTTATTTGGTTATTTCGATGATGCTAGTTATTAATTATTTCTTTTATACATGCCAAGAAAATCATTTAAAAAAAACTCTCTAATCACGAATTGATCTTATTTTATTTCAATGACATCTTTGTAGTTATTCATTTTAATGATTTAAATTTTCTAAACGTTATTTTGTTATTTCGATGATAGTAGTGATTACTTATTTCTCGTAACTATACGAAGAGAATCATAAAAAACTTATTTTCAACAACTTTATTTAAATTTTGAATTATTCTTATGTTTCATTTTATTTAAATGATGTAAGTTAAATTGAAACCTCCTTCCTTGTCTCAAGAGACCGGATTTTTGTGCAGAAAAAACCTCAAAAAGTTCAAAATCGTACCGTAAAAAAAACCACAACACAAAAAATGCAATAATCTTGGTTTTTGCTTAATTTACAATATTAATACATGGAAAATTTATCTAAACATTTTAAACCAAACTAAATCATACAAACATATTTTGTTCTTTTAATAAACAATTCAATTCGTATTGCACAAAAAGTATTTATTTATATAATAGAAAAGACAAATGCTGGAGTGTGTTATTCAATCTTTTTAAAATGATAGTTCCTACTTACAGTAACTTCAACTTACTGTGAGTAGGAACTAACTTTTTAGAAAGATTTTATTCACATAACGTTTAAATAAAAATAAAATGTATAGTTTGATAGTTTGAGGTTACTCAAAACACACCTTAAACTAAACGACACACTAAAGTTTAAAAAATTCAACGGTACTAATTAACAAAATCAAAGATGTACAAATGAAATTTAAAACTAATATCATTTGACAAAACAAATCCATATACGTCCATTGCAGGAAAGGAAACTATGGAAATTGTACAAAAATCTACGCAAAAACTACGACACATCAAAACGATGTGATCCAAACTCGTAATTCAACGTACCTCTTCGCAGATGGACGGAAGTGGAATGGCAGCACTGAAACAACCTGTGAAAATGACAGCACTTAAATATATAACAGACAAACTAAAATCAGTCCGACTAACCAAAAGACAAGTACGAAAACTAATTAAAAAAATAAAAATCATAGCACACAATAAAGCCTGGAACACAATCAACGAAATAATGAACATACAAATACGTAGATGACATACTTACTAGCCATAGTATACACCGACAGACCTGAAATCATTACACAAAAATAAATGACAGTATAAACTTCCTATACTTAACAATGACAAAAGAAACGACATACGACAAACTACAATTTGACATAGAAAATCAACACAAATGACAAAGAAACATAACCGCCCAAAACGGCACAAAATGGCACTACTGAAATATAAGGTGTTTGCCAGTAGATTCTACATTCAAAAATGCACCGAAAAGTCCTAATTAACTATGATCCGAATCTTAACAGTTTCGGAGATATTTTACTTCTTTGATTTTTTAAGATTTCACGAACTTGCTTCAAATAAACAATGATAACTCCAAAACTGAAATGTTATGGACAAATCCGTTGATACCATTGAAAACTACGTTAAATTTCCAATAAGATGTGATAAACTTGTAAACCCTCGTGAAATAAGCGTTTTAGTAGCTAGAACTTTGAAAAATATTTTTATTTTCAAAGTTGAAAAACTTACTATGGTGATTCTAAACTATTATTTCGAAACACACAGACCAGAAAATTTCAGAATGCGTACTCAAGTGATACTGAATAAACATTTTAAATTCCGTAAAAAGTAAACATTGAAAAAAATCCTTTATCCATGTTTTGGCTTAAGGATTATGTTTGTTTCCCTCTAATTGATATTTCCAATTTAAAACATAGCATAAACAAATATTTATTGATTAAAAACAATGAGACACATTAAGGACGGAATTTTCTTTTATCGAGAAAATGAAAATAATCAATTGGTTATCGTGAGATATCGTGAGATGCGGTCTAGTGTGATGTAAGTTTCATAAAAACATTTTCTTTATCGTGCCAACGTTTCGACCTTTATTGAGATCATCTTCAGGGCTCAAAGTGTAACACAGAACACTGAAGACAAACACTTTGAGCATCTCACGATATCTGAATAATTATCGATTAACCGTCACTAATCTCTACACATAATCAATTGGGTGGAATTTTTTTTCTGTCAGTACATATACAGGATGTTCGGCTACTCGCGTTACAAACTTTGCCAGTAGATTCTATATAGGAATCAGAAAGTCTTAATTAACTACGATCCGAATCTCATCAGTTTCGGAAATATTGTACGTTTTCTGATTTTTTAAGATTTGACGACCGTGATTCAAATAAATAATGATAACTAAAAAACTGAAAGGTTTTGGACAAATCCGTTGATGCCATTGAAAACTACGTTAAATTTCCAATAAGATGTGATCAATACTAAACTTGTAAACCCTCGTGAAATAAGCGTTTTAGTAGCGATAAATTTGAAAAAAAAACCCTTTTTTTTCGTTGTTGAAAAACTTATTATGGTGATTCTAAACTGAGACCAGCAAATTTCTGAAAAGTACTTCATTTAATATCCATTTTAGCACTGTAATTGTTTTTTTAATTACTTTTTTTCAAATATGAAGACAATGATGGAGGAAAGGAAAAAAACTGTTCTCGCTACTAAAACGCTTATTTCACGAAGGTTTACAAGTCTAGTATTGATCACATCTTATTGGAAATATAACTCAGTTTTCAATGGTATCGACGGATTTGTCCAAAATATGTTAGAAGCAAGGTCGTGAAATTCTAAAAAATCAGAAAAATCAGATAACTCCTAAACTGCTGAGATTCGGACCATAGTTAATTAGAACTTTTTGGTTTTATTTTGAATGTAGAATCTACGAGCAAAGTTTGTAACACGAGTAGCCGAACACCCTGTATAACAGACAGAGTAAAATCCCAATAACTAAAATACGAAAACTAATAAAAAATACAAAACCGGAGCACACAATAAAGGCCACAACACAATCGACAATATAATAAAGAAAACACCACAAAAACAAAAACTTACTGGAACACATTCGCATATATTGCAAAAGAAACGTACTAATTAACATTAATCAACAAATTAGGCATAAAAAACGAAATGAAAACCACAAACAGTTAAAAAAAGGAATATGCACACGAACATACGAATGCAGGAAAGATAGGGTAAAAATAAAACATAGATACAAAGAACATATCGTTTAGGGACGACGACGAAAACTCTAATTATGGGACTCCCTCACTCAGACACTCACTGAACGCGGCTGATTAATAAATAAAATCAGGGATGATAGGCAAAGATGATAGATAACTATCAAACTATAGTTTGATCTCACTCAAACTCCATCTCACAATTTAGAAACTAGGTGCGAAGTCAAAGTATAATTAAAGCGTTAAGGCGATAATAATTATTTTATTAGTAGAGACGATTGTAACTTCACTTGTATATAAGTTTTATATTAACTGTCGCGTTCTGTTGTAAACTTTGATTTATTTACGTATGTCCACAGTGATTAATGTTAGCAGGTGTAAATTAAACTACTGATATATTAAGTTTAACATGGGAAGGAAGGAAATTTCTTTTAAAGGAAAGAGCTTTCTTTTTTCGAGCACAACTTTACATCTGGAGGACAGAAGACTCGTCTACGAGGTCAGATTTTCACTCTCATCACCATACAGCCCGCTCAATTAATTTGTTCATAGACCGGATCGAATGCTCGGACCAGAATCGGTTTCAGGAACAGTCGGAACATGAGAAGAGGAACCGTTTACACTCTCCTCGTACGCAATTTATTCCGCTTTTTCTAAATTAACGATTTCCCCCGGCGGGAGCGGAAACGAAAACGCTTCCTTGATATGCTAATGGGTTCATTGATTTTTTTGACACTTTCGACATAAATTGACAACACATACGTTCTACTATTTTTTTTTTATTCAGCTTGTTATGTTAATTTTCAATAGAGACGTTAATTTGTCTATACCTGCATTTTCTAAATACCACGTTGTACTAGTGCCACTACGTTTTTCTTAGGCAGTCTTGTTCTACTCAGGGTGATCGCTACTGGTACGACAAAGTTCATCAGGTGCTCATAAATCTCAAATGCAACAAAACAGTACTTACGAACTATGGGCCGATTCTCAGGTAGTTGTAACCTTAGGTAATTGTAACTTTCCACACAGGATCAACATTTTATGTCTTAATCCATTTATGTTTAGTGGTCGATTCAAATCCGAATCGAAGTCGAATGTCGTGGGTTCGAATCCCACACATGACACTAACTGTTTTATCTCAACCGAGACCTTACATAAAAAGAACAATTAATTGAAATTTTATGATTATTAACTATCTACGATTTTCGTCATAAATCTACTCTTAGATTCAATGTTCAACTATTCAATTTTGGGGGAAATACAAAAAAAAGTATTTAAAAGAGCTTTAAATTTTTTTTAAAAACGCACCCTTTCACAATTTTCATTATCTGTTAGCAAGAAAACGTTCAATTCTTACAAAATCCGCTGAATTTAAAATTTGAAAAAAAATTTGTAACCTCAATTGAACAATCACGGTAGAGCTTGACAAACTGCATAACAACTTATTCGTTTAATAAGCTTTTTATCGGTAAGTAATTTGTTTAATTACATTGAACGAAAATTCAGAAATTTCTCAGTTGAAATGAAAAAGCTAGTGTCACGAGAGGGATTCGAACCCACGACCTTCGGCTCAACGCGCCGCTGTTCTAACCACTTGAGCTATCGTGAGTGGTTAAACAGCGGCGTATTGAGCTGAAGTTCTTGGGTTCGAATCCCGCTCGTGACACTAACTGTTTTATCTCAACCGAGACCTTACATAAAAAGAAAAATTAATTGAAATTTTATGTTTATTAACTATCTACGATTTTCGTCATAAATCTACTCTTAGATTCAATGTTCAACTATTCAATTTTGGGGGAAATACAAAAAAAAGTATTTAAAAGAGCTTTAAATTTTTTTTAAAAACGCACCCTTTCACAATTTTCATTATCTGTTAGCAAGAAAACGTTCAATTCTTACAAAATCCGCTGAATTTAAAATTTGAAAAAAAATTTGTAACCTCAATTGAACAATCACGGTAGAGCTTGACAAACTGCATAACAACTTATTCGTTTAATAAGCTTTTTATCGGTAAGTAATTTGTTTAATTACATTGAACGAAAATTCAGAAATTTCTCAGTTGAAATGAAAAAGTCACGAGAGGGATTCGAACCCACGACCTTCGGCTCAACGCGCCGTTGTTCTAACCACTTGAGCTATCGTGAGTGGTTAAACAGCGGCGTAATGAGCCGAAGGTCTTGGGTTCGAATCCCGCTCGTGACGCTAACTGTTTTATCTCAACCGAGACCTTACATAAAAAGAACAATTAATTGAAATCTACGATTTTCGTCATAAATCTACTCTTAGATCTTGAACTATTCAATTTTGGAGGAAATACAAAAAAAGTATTTAAAAGGGCTTTAAATTTCTTTTAAAAACGCACCCTTTCACCATTTTCATTATCTGTTAGCAAGAAAACGTTCAATTCTTACAAAATCCGCTGAATTTATAATTTGAAAAAAAAAATTGTAACCTCAATTGAACAATCACGGTAGAGCTTGACAAACTTCATAACAACTTATTCGTTTAATAAGCTTTTTATCGGTAAATAATTTTTTTAAATTACATTGAACCAAAATGCAGAAATTTTATGCTCAATTAACATTTTTATGTAAGGTTTTGGTTGAAATGAAAATGCTAGCACGAGAGGGATTCGATCCCACGACCTTCGGCTCAACGCGCCGCTGTTCTAACCACTTGAGCTATCGTGACCTCGATCCACTCGGACACTAACATCCCATTTCAACCTCACCTTTTGAATTATCCCTCCTTTTTGCCATTTTTCAAATGTCGTGTAATCTTGGGTTCGAATCCCACTCGTGACACTAGCTTTTTCATTTCAACCAAAGCCTTACATAAAAATGTTAATTAATTGAAAGAAGTAATTTGGTCAATCAGACCCCTAAATATTATGGATTTATTCACCAGTTTTCGTGTTCCGCTTGACCAATTAATATCATTCAATTAAATAAGGTTTTTAGTTGAGATAAAAAAGTCAGTGTCACGAGCGGGATTCGAACCCACGACCTTCGGCTTGATACGCCGCTACTCTACCACTTGAGCTATCGTGACTTTGATCAACTCGAGCACTAACTTTGCCATTTTTGAGCTGGGAAGTTAGTGCCCGAGTGGATCGAAGTCAGGATACTCACGTGGCAGAGTAGCGGCCTATCAAGCCGAAGGTCGTGGGTTCGAATCCCGCTCGTGACAATGACTTTTTTATCTCAACTAAAAACTTTAATTGTTTGAATAATGGATTTATGCTAAATGGTAAAACGTGGTGTCGGTGGGAAAAACGGTGGAATGGGGTGAAATAGTAATTCTATTTTTTGTCCTGAGAAAAATTTATTTCCAAACTGAAACAACAAAAAAGCACAAACAAAACACATACAAAACACATACAAAAGAGACAATAAGCATAGCAAACAACCAAAGCCGAAAAAAATTGGACAAAATATTTACACACAAAAAAACTATACAATTGTTGTAAAACCCAACTCTAAGATTCAATGTAAAAATCAAACAAAGCACATAAAAAGAGACAATAAAAATAGTGAAAATGGAAATTACATTGGTTTTTTTTTATACCCAACTTTCACCGGTTTTGTCAGAAGTACAGTTGTCTGCATATCGTCATATTAATTGGTTTGTCTTAAGAAATGAACTGAATTTTACAAAATCGTCTTTGGAAAGTCTTGAATATACTGGAATGATTGATCTTTGGTCACTTGTTACTGAATTTTCAGTGGGTGAAAACCTTTTACAAATGAATCTTCTTTAGAAGGTATTCAGTGCGGTTCTAATTTGGCCAAATGATGTAACTTTTAGCTAACCACCAATTTGTTACTCTACATTCCCATCAAAGCGAAAAACTATTAACGTGTTCGTTTTTTTCCAGCTTTTGGCCACCGTCGTCATGCTGAGCGTCATCTCGTCCGGGAGCGCAGACGACGACCACAAACAGTGAGTATTTACTTCCGGACATTTTTCACATGACAGCCGCGCGCACCTTTTGTGCAACTGCACACTGGCAATCAGATGGGCGTAACGTGATCTTGCTTGGCAGCCCAACCGAAGCGGACGAAAGCCGGTTTTTAATTATTTCCTTAATAAATGTTATGGAACGTTTTATCGATCCCTTTCAGTTTTTACAAATCCGACGATACTTGACTGATCATAATTGATTCACTATCACTCCTATTAAATTATTGATTTATTAACTGCCTAATTAAAGTTTTACTTTTAAACATAAAGCTGTAATTACAATCATCAACTGCCAATTTAAATATAGATAAATATAAAAATAGCTGTAGACAAAAAATATTGATGATGAGGGGGCAGAAATTCCAGGGTCAATGGTGGGAATCGAACCGCATAGTCCTTCCATTTCTTCTTCTGGGCACTGATCAACAAAAACAATCTTTATTTGCTAAAAAGACTTTACGATTGATTAAATTGAGGCACTGAATGGTGAAGGTTTGTTCAATAAAGCTCAGTTGTCTTCCAGTTGGAAAAAGCTCACATTTTTCCATATATCATTTCTGTACCATTCTAAATTGTTACATTCTGTATATGGATTTTATAGAGTGTATTATATATAAAAAATGTCTAATAATTTTTGGCAATTTTTTTGACAATTCCATGTCTTTCGGGGTTGTATAATGCAAAATAATATGATTTTAAATAATTTTTTGGCATAGAATTTCTCATATTAAAACTCATGTAGAAGTTAGAGCGGTAAATAAATAACGTTTTTGGACAAATTAATACATTACAAGACAGTCATACTTCATCTAAGCATAATTTTTCAGAAATCGTGAGATGCGGTCTGGTGTGATGAAGGTTTCAGAAAAACAGTTTCTTTATCGTGCAACGTTTCGACCTTTATTGAGATCATCTTCAGGGCTCAAAGTGTTTGTCTTTTGTGAAATTGTGCCATTTTTGCGTGTCGTGTTGGGGGGGGGGCACTCTCAACACGACACGCAAAAATGGCACAATTTCACAAAAGACAAACACTTTGAGCCCTGAAGATGATCTCAATAAAGGTCGAAACGTTGGCACGATAAAGAAACTGTTTTTCTGAAACCTATATCACACCAGACCGCATCTCACGATTTCTGAATATTCATCGATTAACGGTCACTAACAACCACTCACTTCATCTAAGCTTTGGCAGGACTGTCATCCTTATGCTGTGCTTTTTATTTTATTTTTATTTTTTTAATTTATGTATATTCATTTTTATTCTTTTTGTTGCTTGAATTGGCATATTGTGACTATATTGCGTAAGAGTTTCGAAATTCAAAGACGATTTTTCTCAATACTCTAATGATTGTTCTGATTTTAAAACTTGTAGAATGAAGTAAAATTGGGACAAGGACTGGACCTCAGTTTCGGTATCTCAAGGCAAAATTTCACTTATGTTCTTCATGCTCGAGTCTGACGTGTTTTTTCGACTGTTACAGTAAAAAGGTCATCATTCACGTCCCGTACAAGATCCATACCATCCACCACCACACCGTGAAGAAAGTGCCAGTGTACCACTACTACGATCACCACGACCACCACCATCATCATCATCACGTGCACAAGGAGGAAAAACACCACCCGCACAAAGAGGAACACCACGGTTGGGAATGAACATCGGATTTTGGAACTGATTTCGGCGTGATGTGTCGTTTCCGGATCAACTTGACGGAAAATGACATTTCTGTGATACTACAAATATATTTTTACCATTGTAAATGTTTTGTTGTTTTCAAATTGCACAAAGTGTACCATCTCATTATATATTAAATTTTTTTAATGTTTTAATTTGATTTTGTTTACACATCATCATTAACCGACTTGCAAAACAAAGGATGCAAAATACATCTTGATGCTATCCTACTCATACTCCTGAAAAAACTACCAACTGAACCATTTCTTAGCATATCTAGCATTAAATTATGCGGTCAAACTTTCGTTCAAACTTCACAAAAAGTGGTCACCATGAAGGTCGTCGTTAGAGCTCTAGTTACCAGTGTTGCTATAAACCTAGACACCCCAACTCAAGTGAAGAAGACAATCCTCAAAACGAGATGGAAAACGGACTCGGTGCCCGCAGCGGGTCTGACGAGGAAGGCATTCTGATGTTGACGCTGTGCCGTCGGGTGTTGATGGTTCCGGAGGGTTTTCTGTGTTTATCTGCTGGTAGGCAGGTTTAAGTCGGTCGATGGTTACTCTTCTGGTCGAACCTCTGGCACTTGCGTCAAAAAACTTAGGAAACCTTTTCACCACGTCGAAGGGTCCTTCGTCCTTATAGCGGTGGTTGTACTCGCTCGATTCTTAAGAAAACGTGAGACCGTTTCCACAAATCTGGGAGTTCATAGGTCTTCGTTGAACCATGGTAACTAGGAATTGAGGGTTTTAATCGTCGCAGCGTTCCTGGAGATCCTTCGCAACCTGAGAACCTGAGAGCAATCCTGCATAGGCGTTGGTTGAAAGAATTCACCGGGCAAACGTAAGGGAGCACCATAAACCATCGCCGCTGAGACCTTTAGATCCTCTCTGATGGCTGTGCGTAAACCTAACCACCAAATGAAGGGCATCCACCCATGACCTGTCGTTGATCAGGTAGCTGGTAAGAGCTGATTTTAGCACGCGCATTATAGAAAAGCGAAAGGTTTACAACTAAACAGTATAAAAAGTAAACAATCTAAATTGGGCAGAAACACCACTGTAACGTTTCTAAATAAAGAATTAGCTTAAATATGTAATATACAACAAAAATACTTTCTTATTTATTGGGTTAGAATTAACAATTAGATAAACTGTGCACAGTTAATAACATACAACATAAAAAAAAGGATCACCATGAATGTCAACGTTAGAGCTCTTGTTACCGCGAGTAACCTTCTTTTTTTCCTGTTCTCCAGTGTTGCTATAGGCCTACAGGCCTAAAGCCGGGAACACACCCCATGCAACGCTATGCGACGCTACCCGACGCAAATCCATAGTCTATTTTTCCGTAAGAAGGTATTACCCCCTTGCACATCTGCCCGATGCCACGCAACGCTACCCTACTCTACGCTACGCGATCCCCACTACCCAGATTTTCGTCGGGTAGCATCGAGTACAGTCGAAGACAAAGGAGCCGGTCACTCATATTTTCATTTGAAACTATACGTGCTATTGTCGTTATATTAATTACAACATATTTATTTTTAAAATAAAACAAATTAACCGAGATCAAAAATTCATTAGTTTTTATTTTAAGAAAATTTTAAGAATTTTACGTCCAAAAAGACAACAAAACTTTTTCGATTTTTTTGGCTTTTTGCGTTTTTCTTGAAAAAATACATAAAAAACGTGTCCTACGAGCCTTTTACATCCAAAAAGACAATAAAACTTTTTTCGATTTTTTTTTGGCTTTTTGGCGTTTTTCTTGAAAAAAAAGTCCTACGAGTCTTTTACATAGAAAACGGCTAAAAAAAATTTCGATTTTTTTTGTTTTGTGATTTTTTTGAAAAAAAAAAGTGTCCTACGAGCCTTTTACATCAAAAGACAATAATTTTTTTCGATTTTTTGGGTTTTTCTTGAAAAAAAACAAAACAAAAACGTTTCCTACGCGCCTTTTACATCCAAAAAAACAATACAATTTATTTCAATTTTTTGGGTTTTTCTTGGAAAAAAAACCTGTCCTACGAGCCTTTACATCAAAAATGAGAATAACATTTTTTTGATTTTTTACGTTTTTCTTGAAAAAAAAACAAAAAAAACGTGTCCTACGGGCCTTTCACATCCAAAAAGACAATAATTTTTTTTCGATTTTTTGGGTTTTTCTTGAAAAAAAAACCTGTCCTACGAGTCTTTTACATTGAAAAAGGCTAACATTTTTTTCGCGTTTTTTGTTTTGTGATTTTCTTGAAAAAAAAGTCCTACGAGCCTTTTACATCAAAAAGGACAATAATTTTTTTCGATTTTTTGGGTTTTTCTTTAAAAAAAACCTATCCTACGAGCCTTTACATCGAAAAAGAGAATAACTTTTTTTTCAATTTTTTTTTGTTTTTCTTGAAAAAAAAAACGTAAAAAAACGTGTTCTACGAGCCTTTTACATCGAAAAAGACAATAAATATTTTTTCGATTTTTTTGGATTTTTTAGGTTTATTGAATGTCTGATTTTGGCCATAACAGTAAATATCAATACTTTCCCATCCTCAACAAAAGACTTAAGCTTCAAGATATGCAAAATTAAACATCAAAAATAGGAGGTGGAAGAGGATTGACTCTATAAAGTAAAATGACCAGAGACTGAGTTGTAAACGACAAGAACGTCACGAACTTAGAAATATTTATTTAAGTGTTTTAATCAGTTATTTGGAGATGCGGTCTTGTGTGATGTAGGCTTAGAAAAACATTTTCTTTATCCTGCCAACGTTTCGATCTTTATTTAGATCATCTTCAGTGCTTAAAACATTTGTTTTCCGTTTAAATGTGTCATGGTTGTGAGTCGTGTTGTTAGTCACACTAACACTTTTCACACAAGACCGCATCTCACGATCTCAAAACAATCATGTTTTAATTATTTTTATTATTATTACTTTTAATATGCACGTTTTGGAGTTCAATCCATGAACCTAGCAGGATGTTAAAAAAATGAATTCCTTTATGCTGAACTAAATGTAGCATATTTAATTAATAAAGGTATAATCATCGTTCCGTTAAAATTTAATTTACTGAAATCAATGTATTACATCAATTATCTGAAAAACATTTTAAAAACCAACAGCATTTGGAAATAATTAAAATTTTGAACAAGTAAGTGAAGATACAAGTTCTTTTAATGGTTTGCGATAGTATTTGATCCAGAAGAAATTCTCCCCATCGAACTTGTGGCAAATACCATCTGTACGATTTTAAGACGTGCAACACGGTTTTGACACAGCTCTGAAGGAGTTGGGTTATAGCATTTAAACACGATCTGCAAGACAGAACATTTTCATGGTATTTCTTTTTTTTCATCGACAAAAACCCAGGGTGTCTGTCTCCGCTGAACTTTTCTACTGCAAATACACGACACTACCATTCGTACGATTCGCACACGTGCAAAATCGTGATGTCGTGTATTCGCAGAGAATAATCATGATCGATCCTGGTTAATCAATCGTAAAACAAATTATTAGTCGACGATTCTGAAAAAATAATTATTCTTCTAAGCAAAATACACAATAGCGTTTGTACATGATGAAACTTCCTCCAGCAAACCTGTGGCAAAGGAAGGACGCGGACTGCAACATATTTTAATATGAATATCGTACAAATTTTCTTAAACGCCAAAATAGAGATCTTTCATGCTGTAAATGGACGCCAGAGTCCTGCAGATTGATTTTAAAAAAAGCCTGCACAGTGACAACGTCAAGTTTTGGCATGAACTCAACAGGTCAACGAGAAATTCTCACCTGCAAGCCTGTGTCAAATACCATGGGCACGAATGATACACGTGCAACACGGTTTTGACACAGACCTGAAGATGTGTTACTTTCAATTTTAAAGAATTCTTCATGTCTTTTTCATAATGATGGATTTTTGCTGAGAATAAACGTCACAGGTCCGATGTAAAACCGACCCTGCATAGTCTTACCACGAGAAAACAAAATTTGGTCTCCAAATGTATGGTTTCAATTAAAACATGAATAGTATAGCGAAACAAGTAGATTTTGAAGATGTTTTTCTCTTGCAGAACGACCCACCAACCGTGTTACGCTTGATTGTGACTACGTACTCATGGCGCTGGATCGGATCTGCAAGAAAAACCGTAGTCACCACTTAAACAGTTGAAACGAGAACGTTTTAGTCTGAATTACAAGAAATAACGACCATTTTAAGAAACAGGTTTCACAATGCAAGTACGATTTGAGAAAGGGCTGCAGTAAAATAAAATTCCAGCTGACAATTTTTCCATCCTGAAGAAACTCTCACCAGCAAACCTGTGGCAAATACCATGTGTACGAATAATATACGTGCAACAGGGTTTTGACACAAGTCTGAAGAAGCCGTACTATTTATTTTGAAGATATTTTTTCTCTTGCAGAACGACCCACCAAGCATGTTACGCTTGCATGTGACTACGTACTCATGGCGCTGGATCGGATCTGCAAGGAAAACCGAAGTCATCACTAAAGCAGTTGAAATGAGAACGTTTTAGTCTGAATTAAAAGAAATAACAACCAATTTAAGGGAAAGAGTTTTACAATGCAGTTTAAGTACGATTTGAGAAAGGTCTGCAGTCCAGCTGACAATTTTTCCATCCTGAAGAAACTCTCTCCAGCAAACCTGTGGCAAATACCATGTGTACGAATAATATACGTGCATCAGGGTTTTGACACAAGTCTGAAGAAGCCGTACTACATCGTATTTTAATGAAATATCATGTAATCATGTAATTCATTTTAATGAAACAAATTTGCTCACACGCCAAAAGAGAGCTGGACTTCATTCTGCAAATGGATGTTCTACAACTGCAGACTAATACAACAAAGCCGGCACAGTGTGAACGTAATATCACTCTACTAAAACAGACCAGATGTACTCGCGTATTTATTTATCTGAAAAAAGGAATGAGACATTTTAACCGTGTGAAGGCCAGAATTGAAATAACATCACAGCTGACATGTCTGTGTACAAGTGGTGGATCCTGAAGAAACTTTTCCCAGCAAACCTGTGGCAAATACCATGTGTACGAATAATACACGTTCAGCACGGTT